TGATGTTAAGGCTTGAGCCTCCCATTTTATTGTTTTCTGTTCTATTTGTTTTCTTTGTTATGCCTTCCTGTAGGTTACTTGAACTTTATTTTTTTAAGCATTTTGGTTTATCTATAGTGTTACAGGGTATATTATCTTTTTTTAGCAGTTGCTCTAAGAATTACTATATATGTTACTATACATGCAAATACACATTAACCACAGTATACTGTTTTTATTTATTTAATTTGGGGGGGGGAGAGGCAATTAGATTTATTTATTCTTAGAGGAGGTACCGGGGAACTGAACCCAGAACCTCCTGCATGCTAAGCATACACTCTACCACTGACCTATACCTTCCCGGCTAACCATAATATACTGTTAACATTGTGTCAATGTTATTGACATTTCTAAGTGTAGAAACCTTCCTTCTCTTTATATTCCTTAGCCCTCTCCCATTTATAAAGTAATTTTTTAAAGTATTTCCTCTACATACATTGAGAACATCAATAATTTCTGCTTCAACCAAACTCAAAGGGAAGGAAAATATTTACCAAGTTTCACTACTTCTGTTGTTTCTTCTTTCCTTTTTGATGTTACAAGTCTTCTTTTATTTTTTCCTTTATGTTTAGAGATCTTTAGACATTCTTTTAGGGTAGATCTGCTGGCAACAAACCCTAGATTTTTCTTCATCTGAGAATGTCTAAATCTATGTTCTGAAGAGTATTTTTCACTTGATACAGAATTCTCAGGTGACAATACTTTCCACAACTTGAAAAGTATGCCACTTCCTTCTGGCCTCATAGTTTGTGATGAGGAATCTCCTGTCCCTTAAAGGTAAGATATCACTTCTCTTTTGCTGCCTTTGAGGTTTTTTTTGGTCTTTAGTTTTCAGAAGTTTAGCTGTGATGAGTCTTGCTGTGAATTTCTTTAGGTTTATCTTCTTTAGGGTTTTCTGAATTTGCAGGTTCATATGTTTTATCATTTCTGGGGAGTTTATAGCCATTATTTCTTCAACTACTTTTTAGCCCCACTTATTTTTCTCTTTCTGGAACTCTGATGACACAGATTTTACATTTTTTGTTATAGTACTACCGGTCCCCAAAGTTCTTATTATTTTTTTAAGTCTACTTTCTCTGTTGTTCAGACTGGGTAGTTTCTATTGCTTTATCTTCACGTTCACTGATTCTTTCTCCTCTGCTGCTTTTTTTTGGGGGGAGGGGGTAATTGTATTTTTCTGCTGTAAATGGTCCTTTATATTTCTATTTCTTTGCTAAGACTTCATACATTTTTTCAATTGTTTCATGTGTGTTCATAATTGCTCACTGACACATTTTTTATAATGGCTGCTTTTAAATCCTTGTCAATAATTCTAACATCTCTGTTGTCTTGGTGTTGATGTCTACTGTCTTTTTTCCTTGACGTCAAGATCTTTTTGATCTTTGGTATGAGTGATATTTGACTGAAACATGGATATTCTGGTATTATGTTATGAAGACTCGATCTTATTTCAATCTTGTTATAGCCCACCTCCTCTGATGGGCATGAAAAGGCACTATTTCATTACTGCCACCTGTGGATGGAACTGTCTCCTGTTACTGCTAGGTGGCGCTGAGTTCCATCAACCCACTACACCTCTGCTAATACCCTGGCTAGGAGGGACTGGGGTGTCCCATTTCACCTCCTCATGTGACCTCCACCGATACCAACTTAGTCCCAGCTCCCTACCTGGTCTTCTGACACTTCCCCAGCAGAGATTTTGGGATTTCCCCAGTACAGCCTACCGAGGATGGAAGGACTCAACATGGCATTTACTGGTGAAGGTGGGGATGCAGTTTTTCTTGTAGTGTTTCACTAGTTTTCAGTCTTGTTAAAGTTATTCCTTTTCTGGCCCTCACGTGGGTTTTTTGGTTTGTTTGTTGGTCTGCTTCTCCAGCACCCAGCTTGGCATATATGAAGCAAAAAGAAAACCCAGGCAACTCAATGCCATTCATTGGGTCCCAAGGTCCCCAGCCAGTCTTCCTTCTCTCCACCTTCCAGTCTGTTGATTTTAAATAAAACATCTAGGGTTGTATTTAGTGGAAAGAATAAGGATAAGTATTTCTATCCATCTTCCCAGAAATGGAAGTATTTCACTTTTAATATCACAATAAACAAACCATATGGGAATGTAAAGTGGTACAGCCACTGTGAAAATCAGAATAGTGATTCTTCAAAAAATTAAAACTAGAAATGCCACACGATCCAGCAATTCCAGTTCTGGATATATACCCAAAATAACTGAGAGCAGGGTTTTGAAGAGATGTTTACACACCCATGTTCACAGCATCACCCACAACAGCTAAAACATAGAAACAACCCAAGTGCCAACAACAGATGAATGGATAAGCAAAATACGGTATACACATACAGTGGAATATTATTCAGCTTTAAAAGGGAAATTTTGACACTTGCTACAACATGCATGAACCCTAAGGACATAACGCTAAGTGAAATAAACCAGTCACAAAAAGACAAATACTATGATTCCACTTAACATGAGTAGTCAAAATCATAAAAACAGAAAGTAGAATGGTAGAATGGGGAGTTAGTGTTTAATAGGAACAGAGTTTAAGCTCTACAAGATGAAAAATGGATGCTGGTGATGGTTGCACAAAGTGAATGTATTTAATACCACTGAACTGGGTACTTAAAGATGGTTAAGATGATAAACTTAATGTATATTTTACCACAAAAACAAAAAAAACCTATCAACAACTAGTTACTTCCTTCCTAATGCATAGTTGATCTAAAAGGTAAATTTCACCTGTCAGTGTAACTTCTTCAAGGCAAACGCCACCTGCTAGTCTCCCTTGTTTCCTATGAACAGACCCAACTCTGTTGTAACTGACCAGCTTAATACCCAGTGAAGCACTTTAGGCCCAAGGAGGTACTGAGTTACTGTGCCAGGTGCTTCCACAGACACTAATGCTCACATTCTCCCAGCCGGGGAGACTGAAGTTCAGTGAGTCCTGTGAGGAACTGTCCTAAAGTCATAGCTGGTGAACAGTAAAACAGAGGCAAATCCCTGTTTCCTGGTGACAAGTTCCATGAAACCTCTTAGCAGAATCTTTTAAGAAATGACAGCCCAATAGTAGGAATAACAAATGTTTATTCAGAAATGGGTAAGTAACACATAGTCTCCTCCATCCCTTAATGCCTCTTCCTCTCCTTTTTAACAAATGAGACACAGGTGGGGAATGCAAGGGAGTGGGAGGTGGAGAGGGACACAAGGATTGGCCCACCACCTTCTATTTCCCACGATGACATCCTGTAGAATAGGGGATGCAAACAGGCTCTATCCCACAATGTACCATATGGCTACCCAGAGGACAGGGTCCTGATGGCCAGGTGGCTGCAGCTGGGCTCAGTGAAGCCCTGTGATAACCAGAGCAGCCTGGCACGGGACTGGAGGGGAGATGGGAGGGTAAAGCCATGCAGGCAGGATATTTACCATCCCTACTGGAAGCAGAGTCCAAGCAGTGATCTGACTGTCCCCAGTACCTGAGAAACCAGGTCCTACTGTCTTGTGGGTGCTCTCTGGGGCCAAGAAGGGGAAAGTGTAGAAGGAATGTCTTCCAGCTGCTGAACAGAACTAAGTCTGCACCTATTCAAAGGGGTAGAAGGGAACAAAAGCAGCATTCTTTAAAGAACTGGAAAGTGGAG